GAGTTTGAACTGCTGACCTTTCAATTAGCAGCTGAGCACTTAACCAGCGTTCCACCAGAGCTGGAAAGTTGCTGGGCTGGGACTCAGAATCCCTGAGTTCTGTTTCCCATTGTCTATTATTTGGAACGTAAGCATATCCGCATATGTGCTCACTGAGAAATGCCTCCTCTGTAAAATAAACCTGCCTTTTAAAGCCTTGTCCAGCTCTCATGTTGGCTTCTACTTCAGTGAAATATTAACCTAATTAATAAGTGTTTGTCGAATGAATGACTGAATAAACCACATCTCTCTAGGAACGATGGACATTGAGTACTTGGAAGTATGTAGTCCCAAGTCCTCCTCTGCTTTACAAGGCAGCACACTTGGGCTCCCATAGCATCACTGGGCTTGCACCTACCGATGTGTCTGCAACAGACACTGGGAGGCTGTCCCCCTCCATCTCTGCCACAGCTCCTCTCAGTGTTGCCCTTTGGCATAAAGAATGTGCCCAAAGACAGCTGGAATTACAAGGGAGGAGAGGGTTTGCTAAGGACTGAATTGTATCCTCCAGATTATGTGTTGTAAATGCAAGCCTCCATGCCTGCAGTCATAATCCCCTTTGGGCATGGGTTGCCTTTGTTAGAGAGGCGGAATCCATGTAGGTTGTGTCTGAGTCAATCACTTTTGAGATATAAAAGAGAGTAAACTAGGGAGCAAAGTAGAGATGGGGGAAAGCAGATGCCAAGCCACAAGGAACCAGGAAGCAGAAGCTGACAGAGAGAAAAAGCCTTCCCCTAGAGCCAGCCCCCTGATTTGGGACTTGTAGCCACCAGAACTGTGAGGAAAAAGTTTCTGTTTGTTAAAGCCCACACTTGTTACAGCAGCAGCACTAGAACTGAGACAAGGCCCCTGCCGCCAGGTGCAATGCTCTTGCAAGAGGAAGAGGGAGAGGGAAGGGAGAAAGTCCAAGAAAAAGGTGGAGGAGACCACTACAGCCACAGGTTGTCTTTGGCCTAAGTTGGTGAACTAACCCCAAGTCCTTCCTGGGGAGGAAGGAGCTGGCACAGGCTGAACAATCCTAGGACCTGGATTTAACAGGGAAGGAGAAGGGGTCAGGACATCCCATTCTCAAAGGGCTCATTTGGCCTGCCTGAATGTCTCTATTCCACCTCTGGGCCAGGCAGTGGGCCCCTGCATTGTTGATGCGAGTGAAGCCAGCTTGGGACTGAGGAGGTTGGCCCAACAAGCACTTCAGTTCCTCTCTGTGGCCACCCTTTCACTGTCTCCTTTTCCTGCCTCATCTCCCCTGGCCCCACCAGAAGCAGCCCACTTTCAGGCAATAGCAAGCATTTCCCCCACTTTGCCAATGGACTCCACACTGGGTCCCGGAAAATGTAAGGTAATTAAGGAGAAAGGAAATAATGAAGGTGAAACCAAGCACCTGGCCCTCGTGGGGAATCCTTGTAGAATGTGGGAGCTTGGAGGGCCTCCATAGTCCATCCCCTCCCTTTTCCAAGATGGGAGGTGCAGAGAGCAGTGACATGCAGACCAGGCAGCAGAGCTAGATGGGAACCCAGGGCCCCAGGGCCTGCAGCCAGGCCTCCTGGCACCTCTGCTCTGTCCCGCAAGGCCCTCCGGTTCCCCCAGCGCCCCTGCTCTGCGGCCCAGAGGGCTCCCACTCTCAGCCAGCCTGTGCCTGCCAGTGTCTTTCTGACACCCACTCCTCTCCTCCTTCCTCCTGGCAGAAAGCACCCATTTCAGCCTCATTACGTGGCTAAGTATAAAGCTGGGGGGAGAAGGGATTTGTCGGTGTTTCTCTCAGTCTCAGCTCCGGGAAGGCGCCTTGGAGAGTCCAGGCCAGCATCTCTTTGGCCGGTCCCCACCCCGAACGCGATTCTCTCAGCCCTGAGACCAAGCTGTATAGGTTCAGCAGAAGGGCCTAAATCCCCTAGGAGAGCCCTGCCCTCCTCCGCAGACACAGGG